CTCTCCGGTGCCAGGTAGGGCTTGGCTCCGGCGGGACGCGGGGCTGGGACTGCGGGGGCTCTGTGGGACAGCTCTGCTTCTCCGCACACGCGGCACCTTCCCGGCTGGACGCTCCCCAGGGAGCTGGGGGGGTTTAGCCTGAATTAAAGGAGGACCGGGGGGACCTCATCGCTCTCTACGGGCAGCTGGAAAGAGGTTGTAGACAGGTGGGTGTCGGTCTTTTCTCCCAAGTAGCAAAAGACAGAAGAAGAGGAAACAGCCTCAAGCTCACCCAGGGAACGAGCCCGGAGAGGTGGTGTGACCGTCCCTGGAGGTAGATGTAGATGTGGCACTTGGGGTCACGGTTTGACAGCGTTAGGTTGATGGTGGGACTCAATTCTAGAGGTCTTTTCCAACCTTAATGATTCTGTGGCACCCTCCAGCCGCGGTGCTGGGCCTGAGGCTCTGCAGCCACCGGCGGGCTCGGCGGAGGAGCGGCGGCGGCAGCGATGCCGGGCTGCAGCCGCCTCCCTTCGGCACAGCCCGGCTTCCAGCGCTGCTCCGCGGGGATCCTGCCAGGACCGAGCTTCTTCCAGCCTGAACTTCACGTGCAGATCTCCACTGCAGCGCTCAGGCTGAAAACTGCCGGAAGCAGGTGTTTGTAAGGTGACCACAGCCAGTGCGGGTGTCAGGGGTGACACACGACAAGCGTCCCCGGGTGTTGTTGGCCCAGGCTGCAGCCCCGGGGCTGCCTGAGGTGTTTCCTGCGATTGTGAAGCCGGGGATGGTGCGTGTGCTGGAAGTTTGTGGCTACGGTAATGGATGAACAGGATGTGCTGTGTTTTGGGGAGTTTCCTCCTGAAATTTCAGAAACTGTGACAACTTCCAAGTATGGATATTAAAAAAGGAGGCAATTGCTGCCAAGCTTGTACAAATCAGGCTTTTTGGCAGCAGTGGTGGGCAAGGTGCTGGCAAACTGTAGATTAGGATGTTCTTCTGCTGGTCTCTAACACTTATGGGCTAAGTTGTGGTGCAACATGCAAAGCAGCTCCATTTTTTACTTATGGTATAATTTTATACTAATGTATTGATGTCATTTGATGTGTTTGAACTTCCTTGCTCTGCTAAGGGTGCTAGACTTTTGGAAGTCTGGGCGGAAAACAATGTGTTGAGTGCATGAAATTTGTTTCTTGGTACAGTCTGCTTTGATTGGTGGGAGCTCGTTCTCCTGCACCTTTAGGAGATTAAACTGGCTCCACTTTTCTAGAGGTTGCTGATTCCCTAAGAAAAACTGGTGTGTACCATGATATGTGAGTATAAAAGGCTGCATGGGTCCTGTGATCTCTGGTGAAGTGGCCCAAGGGAAAGTATCCATTTGAATTTGGTGGGGGTTTTATGTGGTTTTAAAAGTTCTTACTCCACTTCTTTCTGTCTTCCTAAGCAGGCAAAATCCAAGTAAGCTGCCTGAAATCCTGTATCTTCTCATGTTAGGTCAAGTGGGCACTGGAGGAGTTTAGGTGGTGCTTAGTGCTGGGAAAACCCAAAGCAAGAAGAGAGGAGATCTGCACCCAAGCCTTTGGAGGCACATTTCTTTCAAAACCACCACTGTTAATAGAGAGGGCTTATTGTCCCCTGTGTCTGGCACATGCCTTTCTGTAAGCTGCTTTATTTTCTGTAGGCCTTACTGCTCCTCTAAGTGAGCTGGAATGAGTTTCTTCTGCAGAGAGACCGGAAGAGAATGTAGTTGTTGCATAAAGCCAAGAGGAGAGGAATAAAGAGACACAAATTACTTAAGATCTTATCTGTCCTGAGAATAAACAGTTACAATCGGGTTGTGAAGTGGAAATAAAGTTTCCAAACCCCAGAGGAGTTGCATCTGCAATAACTTTTGCAATAGGAGTGCTGGGGACACATTCCCGCTTTCTGGTGTTAAATGAGAGTTTGAGAGATGGCTGTTTGAGACAGCAGGGGGTTTGACATGTCATGGGGCGAGTGACCTCAGACCCCAGTGTCTTTCTCGGGCCTGGGATGGGGAGAAAAGTTCTTGGCTCACACCCAGGCCAGGTTCAGGTTGGAGATGGTCACGGGATGGCTGCTCAGGGGACCCTGTAGGATGATTATAGTGCTTGGTCCACTTTCCAGTTTGCCAGCACTGTGTCACAGAGGCAGCTTTGTGTGGATCCTGGTGCACGTTCCTGTTGGCTGGTGACTTTTTGTTGAACTTGAATGTAAATTCTTGGCTCTTTCTGGAAGCTTTTCCTTTTGATTCTGGCAAGGGAAGGACAGAGGCACGTTCCCTCTAATGTGCACAGAGACCTCTAACTTGTGCTTTCAGTCTGGCATCCTTTATGAAGTGCTCAGGAAGAGGATGGGTCATAATAGAGCAACTCTCGTTTTCTGCAGTGTTTGTCTTCGGAGGGGGAATTAAGCTGTCTTACTGCTCTTTTCCAGGGTTCCTCTCTGGCACTGGTAGAGTTAATAGAAGTGGAGTCTTTCTGATTCTGTGCTGCTCGCTGCTGTGTGTGTGTGTCTTGGAAAAGCCAAACTCTCTGGCAGGCCTGTGTGCTGTGTCCTGGAAAGCAGGCTGGAGCCCTTGGGGTGCACTTGGTAAAGCTGCATTGTGGGGTGGCTTTGGTGAAGATCCCTCTTTCCATTTGCCCCAGGAATGTGAGTGCCACACACAGTATCCAGTCTGCCCCTGTCGCTGCTGCCAGGAGGGTGATCTGTTCATGCCTGGCTGGGACAGCTCTGCAGGAATGCTGGGAGGCTGCTGTGCTGCCCAGGGCTGTGGAAGCTGCTGGGTATGGGGACAGCAGAAAAGGATGCTCCGTGCAGCTTTCCAGGCTTGCTGCATTCCAGCCAGCCCAGAGGTCTCAAGCAGCGCTGGAAGCACAGCATGCCGGGATTCTGTGCGCAGTGGGCACCCTATTCATCCAGAATAGGAAGCAGTCCCTGCCCTGAGCAGCTAAACGGGATCAAATGCAAGAACAGATTTGGGCAAAACTCAAACCCAGGAGTGTGCCAAGCAGGAGGCTTGGCAGTGTCCCTCCATTATCTTCAGCTGTTGGACTCAGATGCTTGGTCTGAAGTGCTGACGCACATATGTAATTTGCCCCTTCTTTAGCTCTCTACTGATCTCTCTGGGTGTTTCTTCTCCGATCTGCTCCATCCTCAATCTTGACTAGCTAAGCACAGAGAATTACTGCTGAGTAATACCTGCTTCTTGCTCAGCAGAGTGTAAAACGTTATGTCTGCAGTTCCTCCAGCTCCTCTTTGCAGGCAGAATAAGAACCTGGCTTCAGGAAAGGGCACTTTTTGGTGTTGCAATGCAAAGCTTTGTGTTAGGCTACAGCTCTACTGAATTTCTGGCTCTCCCTACTTCCAAATTGTAAATAAATACACCAGGGTGGAGAAACCGTAAGTCTTCAGATACGTATTTTGTGTCTTGGGACAAGCTGAGCTAAAACTTTGACATGTAACAGTGTCTGGTATTGTTCCTCTTTATTAATAATTCTTGTCTAATATTTGAAACCCGGGCTTTATTTGTTAAAACCCGTCAACCCTGAGACGCAAGCACAGCCATGCAGGGTCTTTTTACCAAGTCATTCACTGCAAGGCTGCAGTGGTGCTGAGCACCTTTTCCCTGAGAATAACAGAGCTCAGCACTTTTTCTTATCTGGACTCAAGTTCTTCTGCATCCCTGTGAAGAGTGGGGTTGATGCTGTTTAAGGGTGGTGTGAATTGGTTGGGGAGCAATCTCTGTGTTTTGGGAAGAAGAGACACCCAGCCTTCATTTTAAAAAAAACTTTTCAGGGCAGCTTGCCCTGAAGTAGCTTTGTTTTCAAAGCTGGTGTTTGCAGGGCTTGTTCTGAAGTCATTGGAAAGATTTGGGATGTCTGTGGAAAGGACAGCTCTCATTTTTTATCTGTAGGTGCTGCTGTGTTTAAAATCATAGTCTGGACTATGCTGGGAGGGGTGGAGAACATTGCAGTAACTACTTGTAGCTCCTCACTTTGCTGTGTTGTTCTTCCCTGCCTGTGGGCACAGACTCCTTGCTGGCTTGGGGAGGTTTGCCAGCCTGCCTCTGCACAGAGCCTTGGACCAGAAAACACCAGCAGGGTGGGGAGATGGGTGTTCCCTGAGGATCTTGCAGGAAGGAAGGGGACAGGAGTCATGAAAAGCAGACAGCAGTGAAAAGATGGGGCTGGTTGAAGCAAAAAACCCAAACCTGCTGTGCCTCTCAGAACATAAGATCTGAGCACTCTTTAACAGTGATTTCTCACCTCTCTTTGGTGATCAAGAGTTGTTAGTGTTGAGTGTGATAGAAATATAAATTACATTAAAGCAGGAAAAGAGGTCCTGACTCACAGTGTCTGGGCATGAACACAGATTTACCAGAGCATTCTTAATCTCTGAAACCGTTCAGTTAAAAGTAATCTCTCCTTTAGATTTTTATTGATGCGTGGCTCTTATCAGGACTCTGTCCCTTTGTGGGAAGATTATAGGTGGACTGTTTATGTAATCTTTGTTACTGGCAAAAGGAAATAGCTGCCAAGAAAAGTCATGAAGATAACACCTACTGGGTGCCTTCACACAGAGAGATGACATGGTGTGTTCAGGTCAGTGATCTTCTCTCATCAGGGGCTTTCTTTAGCCACTGAGGCAGTGGCACCTTCAGCCCTGTATTCATAACTCCAATAAGAAATTTGTTTTCAGCACAGAGCAGCTTCACACAGACATGAGACCACAGTGTGATACCAAAAGCTGAAATCACGGACTGAAACTTCTTTCTTCTTGTGTGTTAGATAGTGTAAAAATCAAGGAGGTCTGAAAGGTGATTAGCTCTGCATACTTTCTGTGACTGGTTGTATATTTTAATACTCCCAAACTTTCCTCTGTAAACTCTAGGTCTGAAATAATTATATTTTACTATTTTTATAAAATTTAGACAGAGCTTCTCTTGAAATCACCTACTCCAGAAACTTGAGATCAATAAAAAGCCATAATTGCTATGAAACTGATAAAATTGCAGCACATTGTCTGCTTTTGGCCAGCCAGCTCTTTTCCACAGAGTCTCTATGGATACCTCTGACTCTCACAGCTCTCCCCATGTAGAAATGGTGATGGTCAGCCCCATGACATTGATTGTGCCAGGCCATTCTGTCCAAACCAGAAGGATTAAAGGTTCAGCTAACTTTTCTTTCCTCGTACTTTTCCAGGCTCCTGCTCTGCAGCACCATGCTGGATCCCAAGCCTCACTCTGCAAGCCAGAGGTGAATCCAGGTGAAAGCCAGCTACCACAGTAGGTGTCAGGATGACCAAAGCGCGGCTCCTCCGTCTGTCTGTGGTGCTGGTCTCCATCTTCATGATCCTCCTGATCATTGTGTACTGGGACAACGTGGGGACAGCTCACTTCTACCTGCACACATCCTTCTCCAGACCCCGCTCCCCAGGAGCCATCACGGCAGGTGAGGACTGGGAAGCATTGCCAGATGTAGATGAATTTTTGGCAAAGCTGCTTAGTTCGAGCCTGAAACAGAACAGCTCTGTCCCCCGAAAGACAGAGCAGCTCCTCGTCCAGGGCTCCAACAAGCCTGTGGTGAGTAACTTGGAGGAGAACGTGCGGGGCTATGACTGGTCTACACACAAGGACAGGAACAGCTTGGACCAAGAGAAGCTGCAGGTGGAGAGGCAGAGAACGTTGCGGGAGTTTTGTGCCAATTCCAGCTTCACCTTTCCCACCAAGGAGCGCTCCTTCGATGACATTCCAAACTACGAGCTCAACCACCTGATTGTGGATGACCGCCACGGCGTCATCTACTGCTACGTGCCCAAGGTGGCCTGCACCAACTGGAAACGTGTGATGATCGTGCTAAGTGAGAGCCTGCTGGACCAGGGGGTCCCCTACCGGAACCCTCTGGATATCCCCCGGGAACACGTCCACAACACCAGCACCCACCTGACGTTCAACAAATTCTGGCGCCGCTACGGGAAGTTCTCCCGGCACCTGATGAAGATCAAGCTGAAGAAGTACACCAAGTTCCTCTTTGTGCGAGACCCCTTCGTCCGCCTCATCTCCGCCTTTCGCAGCAAATTCGAGCTGGAGAATGAGGACTTCTACAGGCGTTTCGCTATCCCCATGCTAAAGCTCTACTCCAACCACACCAACCTTCCCACCTCCGTTAGCGAGGCCTTCGGGGCAGGCCTCAAAGTCTCCTTTTCTGACTTCATCCAGTACTTACTGGATCCCAGGACAGAGAAGATGGCCCCCTTCAATGAGCACTGGAGGCAGGTTTACCGTCTGTGCCACCCGTGCCAGATAGACTATGATTTCATCGGGAAGCTGGAGACGCTGGATGAGGATGCTGCTTATTTATTGCAGCTCCTCAAAGTGGACAGGCTGCTTCGCTTCCCACCCAGCTACCGGAACAGGACTGCCAGCAGCTGGGAAGATAACTGGTTTGCCAAAATCCCACTGGCTTGGAGGCAGCAGCTCTACAAGCTTTACGAAGCAGATTTTGTACTCTTTGGCTACCCCAAGCCAGAAAACTTGCTTAAAGACTGAAAGTGATTGGGCAGTGGGTGTGGGAGGGAACATCTGAAATACCAAAAATGTTTAAATCCTCCTAATTTTTGCTCTTAACTCCCTTCCCAATGCAAGTTGGTACAATGGAATATATTTTTTCTACTGCTTCCCCTTCCATTTTTGCAATAATGCCAGAGTCCAGGGTATTCCAGCCAGCTGTGCATATGCAAAAAATGCCATTTTTTTGGGGTTATCACTTATTTTCTGTTTTTTAAAATGTACCCATACTTTGCAATGGGTTGCTGCCCTTGGTCACTCTACCAATCATGTCCTTCAGTAGCTTTTTATTAATACTTTTTAAAAATTAATATATTTAAGATATTTAAAACAAAGCGTATGTCGTGGCAAAGGAAAGGGAAGGAATAAAAAAAGTAAAAGAAAACCCCAAGAAATTATGTACCTGCCTCTGTGTGTTGTCTCAGGGCTGCTGTTTCAGAGGTCCAAGGTTTGCAGAGCACTTGGATCTCTCTGGGGGCTGGGATATTGATGGTGCCAGGTCTGCTGGTGGTCACTCCAAGGCAATGGGATTGGGTCAGTGCCTGACTCTGCCAAACAGGCCTGGGAGAACACCTGGAAGGACTCTGGTGACTCACACTGCTCACAGGTGTGGAGTGTTACACCAGAGTCACAGGAAGGAAATGGCATTGGGAGCAGTGACAAGTCTTGTGGGGTGTTTTGGGGCATAAAGGTAGCCAACACAACAGCTCTGCACTGCCTGACCTTTTGGCAAACTGCTGTGGGACTCTGCTGTCCACAAAGCTGAGGTTCAGCCCCTATAGCTTGCTAGTGTGGAGCAGTCCCATGACTTGTCCCATTCCAGGAGGGTGCTGAAGTTCTTAGGGGTTTTGGCCAGCCAGGGTGGGCAGAGTGTGCTCCTGGATGGGCGAGCAGGCCCTGGTTGTGTGCTGCTCCATGTCCTGGTCACTGCTGCATGCAGTGCAAGTCCCTTGAGAACTGTGCTGTGTCCTCATCATCCCTGTGCACCCTGTATGGGAACGTGGCAGGGATGCAGATGCTTATCCTTGGGAGAAGAAGATCCAGAAGGTTTCTTTCAATAAGCAGATGTCAAGGTGAACTCAAAGTTTTTCTGTTTTCAGCATTCCAGCTACTGCTCGTGACACCACATCCTCATATGCTGCTTTTCTGCTTATTCCAAATGGCTGATGCAGATTTGATCATCTGCCTTGCTGGGACCTGCTGCAAGAGTGATGGTTCCCACTGTGCTGGGAGCATGTGGGCTGCTTCCCAAAGGAAATTAATGCCTTTAGAGACTTTTTATGTCTCATCAGCTGAATCTGCTTCTCTTTCTCTCTCTGAATTGCTCTGCAAAAACTGTTTGCTTAGCAGATTAGGCAGGCAACTCTTTCAGAGCTGAAATGCTTAATTATTTCCCTGGACTGTGAATGGTATTGATGATTAAGGTCCAGGGTCAGGTCTTGGGCTACAGCTCTGTGTTTTGGGGAGACTTCTTTGTCTTTTGCCTTTTACTCAGTTTCTCTCCAAGACCATCAGGAGGTGTGACTTTTCCTGTCTCTCTCTCCTTGCTTCCCCAATTTCTGTACAAGTACATCTGGGCACTCCATGCTCTTCCTAACAAATATGCTGTATCAAGCTTCATAACCTACAAATGAGAGGTAATTGATGGTAGTTAGACTCAAAACAAAGTTTTTTTTCCTCCTTGTATTCACACCACTCTCCCGTAATTTGTACAGAGATATTTGCAGTTTAAATGAGCCTGAAGCAGTTGTCAGGGTCTTGGTGCTTTGCTCCTCATAGCTTGGGGAAAAAGGAAGTGCCTGTTTCTGAGTCATTATTTAAAACTAATAATAGAAAAGTGTTGATCTATTCAATTTTTTTCCTAGTTAACAGTTAATTGCTGCAAAACAGAAAGATGTAGAGTCTCGTCTCCTATAATGAGTAATCCCCGGAGTCTCTTGATTCCTGCTACATTTACATTTCTTCAGGGTGGGTTCATCCCGCTCTTCAAAAAACACAGCGTGGATGTTTTCATCTCTTGCCTTTTCAAAGTGTTTATTTTTTCCTCTTTTAATTTCCATGTAATTGATGTTTAGTATGTGCAAGCATGGGGGGGCTGGGGCCATAGCACAGATGCCATGTGAGCTTCCCACCAGCTGCTTCCCCTGCACCTCCTGATCTGGTTCTCTCTCTTCCTGCCCCTCTGAGCAGTGCTTGGCTGCTGGATCCCAGTGCCACCCTGCAAAGCAGCTGCTGCCTCCCCAGCCTCACTTGTCCTGTGATTCATGGCCACAGCCTGTCCCAGGAACTCTTCTCAAGGTCGCTGGCTGGCAGTCATCCAGGGCAGGGGAGGAATGGGTTGCAGAGTGTTATCATTTTTGGCAGCGAGGTCCTGGTTGTGCAATGGGCAGAAAAGGTGCAAAACGGCTGCAAAATCTGCCCAGCAGCTGCTCCATGTGGTGTGAGAGTGTACCCTCTCCATGTGGCTGCCTTGTGATTTAACAGCCATAGAAGAAAAAGGTTTTTCCAAGGCTCCCTTCCCTTGCCGCCACTGGCTAGACAGGGGAGACTTGGAACACACTGATTTCTCTTTCCACATCCAAAGCTGGATGAAGTGAGTAAATTCCATCTTTATGTGCTAACACAACCCTGCATCACACTGAGGTCCAAAACATCCCATGTGTGAGACTGAGCAAGCTGCTTGCATCCCAATGGCTTCATCAGCCTCCCTGGGAGCTGCAGGCAGGAAGGAGAATGTACCGATGGCATGAGGCCACCGAAGACCCTGTGTTCTCTACTTACCCTCTTTTACCTCAGCAAGTCCAGCCTTTAACTGATATCTTAGACATTTTTGTGCTTGCAGAACTGTCCCCAGCCAATGTGCTGGGTGCTGTTGGCTCTCTCCTCATTTTCCATTGCCACGCTTCAAAGCTCTTCCCTGGAGGAGCAGTAAAACTCTGATGGGGAGTGTTCATGTTGCAGTGGTTGGCTTCTGGATTCAAAATAACTTGTTCCTTGCTGCTCCTCCCTTTTGAAGCCCTTCTTCTCCACCCTGCTACCACTGTGAATGTATTGTTAAGAAGTCAAAGGGGATCCAGGCTGTGCTGAGCTTTGTGGTAAGACCACTGGGTTGCCAGAACTGGGATGTAGCCTCTGGCTTTGGAAATGTGCATTTTTTGTGGGTTTTTTGCTCTGTTCTCATGATGTGAAAGTGTGTATGTGGTGGGGAGAAGGACAAAGAGTTCAACCAGCCATGCTTCCTTCCCCCCTGGTTTCGTAAAGGAGTTGGAATTTGGTATTTGACAAATAATGGCAGGCAGAATGCATCCGTGCTGGCCTGAAGTCAGAAGAGGGCTGAAAATCCTGGAATGTAGATGGTCATGATGCTAGTATCAGTTCCATGAGGGGTGGAAAATGCTTTGAAGCAGGCTATTTGTGTCTGAATAAACCTGGCTTTGTCATTTCATGCTCAGCCTGGAAAGTTGTGTCCTGTTCCCCTCTTGGCTTGCTTTTCCCTGGGGTTGACCACTTGGCCAAAGACAGCACAGAGTCTCTAACGAGGCAGAACTGATGTGCAGATGCAAAAATAACCTGGGGTTTAACCAAGATGTTTCCAGCTGGGTAGAACTGAAACCAGCTTTAGTGCTTGCTCAGCATCAGAGCCAAAATTTTTACACAACCATTGAACAGATTTGCTCCCTTGCTGATTGATGCCGGATTCTCTGGTGGAGTGGGATGTGTGTGACCTGGCTTTGCAGCTCCAGGAAAGGGCTGTCAGGTCGGAACTCCTTGTTTTTTGAGCAGTGACGTGACTTTGTCAGGGCAGGAGTGTCTTTAACACATGGGTACCTTTGCATCTCAGTATTTTTTTGCCTTAACCCTTTAATTCACTTGTGTTTAGGGGGACAAAATTATAGACTCATCACCCACAGACGACATTCACTCTGAGACAACGTGGGAGATGAAGTGTTTTGGCTGTGTGTTTTGCATCCTTCAAGGTGGCACTGGGAGGATGGAGGGCAGGGGATGAATGGCAGCATTGAAAGGGTGGTGAAGAAAAGCCAGTTTGTTCCTTCTTACGTAAGCTGGACCTTCGCAGCGCCCGCGGGGGAAAGCCGGTGACTTGGCAGGGTGCTGCGGGGCTGTGGTGCACAGCGGTGCCAGGGAGGGTGTGGGGTGTGGTGGCTCAAAAGAAAATCGTGTTGCTTGAATTTAAGGGCTTGCCCTTGCTGCCCTTGCTCATAAACCCTCTAGTCAAGGGCAAAAGGGATAAATAAAGCATAATTTAATAAAGCTATTGATACCTGGCTGTTTGGGAAAGAGATGGGGAGGATGGGTGGTGCTGGTTCTGGAGCTGGCACAGTGCAGCTCTCCTCTGTCCTTGATTCAATCAAATTAGGGATCGAGCTCAGACTGTGCAGGCTGAGCTCTGTCCTTGCAGAAGGTGGGGAGCATTTGCTCTGGGGCTGCAGCAGAGTGGCATGCTATGCTGGGAGTGGTGTGGAAGAGCCCCGTGCTGGGATGGGAGGGATGCAGGAGCCCCGGGATGCAGGAGCTCTGTGCTGGGACAGAAGGGATGCAGGAGCTCTGTGCTGGGACAGAAGGGATGCAGGAGCCCTGTGCTGGGACAGAAGGGATGCAGGAGCTCTGTGCTGGAACAGAAGGGATGCAGGAGCCCCGGGATGGGACAGAAGGGGATGCAGGAGCTCTGTGCTGGGACAGAAGGGATGCAGGAGCCCCGGGATGGGACAGAAGGGATGCAGGAGCCCCGGGATGGGACAGAAGGGATGCAGGAGCTTTGTTCTGGGACAGAAGGATGCAGGAGAGCCCTGTGCTGGGACAGAAGGGATGCAGGAGAGCCCTGTGCTGGGACAGAAGGGATGCAGGAGCCCTGTGCTGGGACAGAAGGGATGCAGGAGCTTTGTTCTGGGACAGAAGGATGCAGGAGAGCCCTGTGCTGGGACAGAAGGGATGCTGGAGAGCCCTGTGCTGGGACAGGAGGGATGCAGGAGCCCCGTGCTGGGACAGAAGGGATGCAGGAGAGCCCTGTGCTGGGACAGAAGGGATGCAGGAGAGCTCTGTGCTGGGACAGAAGGGATGCAGGAGAGCTCTGTGCTGGGACAGAAGGGATGCAGGAGCCCTGTGCTGGGACGGGAGCGATGCTCAGCAGCCGGCGGGGCTGGCTGAGCCTCTCCTGGCCACTGTCTGTGCGAGGCTCTGGGGGAAGCAGGGTGTGCAGCTGCTCCACAGTGACCCATTCTGAATCCCGTGTCGTGTCCTGGGCTCTGACAGACACTGCTGCCTCTCCCCCCGGCCTGGCTCCTGCAGCAGCAGGAATCCATCTCCTCCAGCCGCTGTCAGCAGCAGCTCCCATCACTGATGCCCTGCGAGGCCATGAGCAAAGCACAACC